GCGCCTTAGACTCCCGGGGTCTTTATGTGCTGGCTTCATTAACATACTGAGTGATGGAAATCATCAACTACTTGAGAATTTCTAGATCAAGTGATAGAATAAATTCAAACCATCTAATCTTCCCTGGTCCTTACTTACTTCAGTTCCAGTGCTTTTTTTGGTTCCTTTCCAATGCACTTCTAACAGTTCCACTGCATCTATGCTGACATACTGCACTGTCTTTTAAGTTCTTACCCTCCCTCTCAGGGAGTAAACTGGCATCTTATTTTACTAAGACAGTACTATAGGCCTTCAAATGCCCTCTTCCCCAAGTGGAAAAAGATGTGTATCTTCATTCACCTTGTCTTTGACTATCTAAAGCAGAGGTCCTAAAAATGTAATCCAAAAGCTGAACCTCGTCCACTGACATGTTCTGTTTAGTATGCATGATTTTTATTTTTATTTTTTTTCAGAATATGTACTTTAAAAATATAATGGTGTAGTACTTTTATTGAGCTATAATTCACAGCATGCATGGTTTTCAAAACATAAATTAGGTGTCTCTTATAACAGAGTTCCCATTATGAAATGCAGACATCTGGCTTCCTTTGGGTGAGAAGATCAGACATCAGGCCCACGCTGTGCACGAGCACCCTGGTTCACCAGTTCCTTCCTACCAAGCAGCCACTTCCCCATGCAGTTGCCTCACCTGGTCCCAGGGGCTCTTTGATCTAAAGTAAGGATCTAACTCTTTGCACTCTCAGGAGCTGAGATCTCTTCAGCCTCATATCTCCCCACCAATGCCAGACTCCAAGGATCCCACCCTTGCTTTGCATCTTTGATTTCTTTGTAAATTGGGCAGCTCATATCAGTGCCTCCACTTCCTCTCTGAAAGTCAATCTCCTTTGTTTCCATGATGTCTGCCACCTAGGACTTCAGTCCCCTCCCACTGGTCCCTTATGCACAATGCCCCCTTCTAGTTTCCCTCTCACTTTCAGACACTGCTTCTCTAGCCCCTGTAGTAATGTCACATTAGTATAAAAGTTGCTAAACACTTATCCCCAATTTCTGTAATCATATCATTAACCAGCAAGTAGTACTAAGCAGCATAAACCAAGCGGTATAAACAATGACGATGCAGGCAATGTTTAGAAATGTAAATCTGACGGCTGTACACCCTCTTGGGCAGGGCAACTCTTCCTTTCCCCTATTAATGCAACACACTGCACATCAACTCTTTAATAATGTTGTTTCCAACTTTCTCTCCCATATTAGGCTTATTAGGCTGTGGGTTCCTTGAGGTCAAGAGGCAACCTAACATACTTCTTGGCAAAGAAGTTTTAAGTATGGGAAAGCTGATCCCACCAACTCCAGGTCAAACAATGTATCCACCACCCATCCTTCCAGCACTGGGGCTTCAAATCTCTCCCTCAGTGGCTATATACACTTAGTTGCCAGCCCTAGTGACAACCTCCTCACCCATTCAAGTCCAGTTCTAAATTGGAACAATGTTCCCTCCACAGTTGAGTCTTCATTGTCTTCAAATACAGAGTTTCAAGCAAATCCTTCCTCTCCCTAAATTCTCCCTGACTCCCTACTGATAAGACCCAACTGGCCTGCATTTGGGTCCCTGGAGGCTTCACCTCTCACATGGCACCTTGACACTTTCTATGCAAACACTCCATGTTTTTCTGGCTTCTAGGTCCTTGCATGCAACCATTTCTACCTGGGAATGTCTTGGTTCTTCAAAGACCAGCTCAAGTGCTACTTCCTCCAACAAATTCCCCTTTGACAAAAGTGGTCACTCCTACAGCATGCACCTTTATGAAAAAAACTTCCCAGAACATTATCACTTTCTACCAGAGGCCACACCTCACCTCTCCATGGAGCCCTAACTAAACCTCCACATTCTTCTCTACCTAAGCATTTGCTGAAGAGTAGTGAATTAACATTTTTAAAGCAGGAAAACAACACGAACCACTTGATGAGACCCAGAAAATTGCAGTTAATCAGAGACTCTACTTCCCTGGTGGCTCAGTGGGAAGAAATTAGCTTGCAAATGCAAGGAGATGCAGGAGACATGGATTCAATCCCTGGGTTGGGAAAAGCCCCTGGAGAAGGAAATGGCAACCTACTCCAGTATTCTTGCTGTTAGGTAGCTAGAATAGGGAAAAGGAGGCCAAAATGGCGGTGGCTAAAAGACAAGGAAGGGAAAAGCCCACAAAAATAAAGCAGAGGACCAAAGGAAGGTCCCAGGACTGGAGTGAGGACTTCAGGTACAACAGCGCTCCTGACTAAGCCCAATTTGCATAGGTCAGGCCCCAGGGGAAGAAAAAAACACATAAAAAGAGGAGCCAAAGGGCTCTCGCTCTCTTTCTCTCTCCAGCACGATGGGGTGCTCTTCTCTTCGCGTCTTTGGATCGGCGTGCCCTCACGCCTTGAAGATGGATTTTCCTGCTGTTATTTAAATAAAATAGAGCTCTAACACTGAGCTGTAATACTGATTTATTTAAGAGCTATAACACGGTCTATCCAAGACCCAAGAGCTGTGACTCGCCTAGGGGGCCTTAATGTCCGTCACTCCAAATCTTTGTTGTGATGAGACAAAGAACCGAGGAGCATACATTCGTCTGCCACTGCCTTGAGAATCCCATGGACAGAGGAGCCTGGTGGACTACAGTCTATACGGTCACAAAGAGACAGACATAACTAAGCACATACACATATCAGCTAAAAAAGCTGTAAAAAGTCCTTTCCCCGAATCTTCCTTCCCCTAAATCTTTTCCTCCACAGCTTAACTTAAAATGTTGTAGATGCTGAAGTTTGTTCTATTCTTAATTTTTTTTTTTTGGCTGCACTGCATAACATGCAGGATCTTAGCTCCCTGGCAAGGAATGAACCCATGCCCCCTGCCTGCAGTGGACACCCAGAGTGCTAACCACTGAAATGCCAGGGAAGTCCCTCCTGTTCTTAGTTTTGAGAAATCAAGTTAATTTTTAAAAATCAAGTTTTCTCTTCTCAAAGGTAAAGCAAACTCCAAAACAAATTAACGAGAACAAAGCCTTTGAGTATGGCATTCAACTCTTACCCATAACTCTCAAGGGGGGAAAAAAAAACGGATTTCTTACAAGTGGGAAGGTTGGATTAGGCACAACACACATAACAAAGATAAACAGGCAGGTGATACTACCACGATAACGTAAGACACACCTTTTCCAATTAGCTTATGCTGAGTTGCACAGCAGGGACAGGCAAGAGGACTGGAGCTGGGAGGGTCTGGCAGGCTTTTTCTGCAGAGCAAAAGCAGCACTTTCCACACTTTGCAGTGAGCCATGAGTGAAGCTGAACTTGGAGCAGGCAGAGTACACAATAAAAGCAGTGAGACTAGTCAAACTAGAGCTGAGTTTTAAGCTGAGAGATGCTAAGGCAGAAAACTGCAAAAATAAAGTGGGATTGGATTAATAAGTGTTTTGTAAATCAGAAAAGTTTTTAGAGTGAATGAGCTGGGCAATAGGAGACTTCTTGTGGGAGGATATTCGTCTCATGCAAGTTGTAGTGAGGAGAGAGGGAAGGCAATGAAATAGAAAGGGCACATACCAAGAAAGAGGGTCTTAATTGCTGCAAAAGTAATGGAAAAAGAAGGAATGAATGCATGGAAGAAACTTCAGAAGCCATTATAGGACTTAGTCATGTCAAACTTTTCAGCCCTGGTGAGTGGAAAGAAACGGGGTGGCTGGAGAAAACCAGGAGAGGACTGGGAAGAAGTTAAGACCAGCTGTCTGAAATCAGGAAATTAAAAAAAAAAAAAATCAAGAACAGGAAAGTAAACTTGATTCAACATCTGCACTGCTTTAAGCTTGGAGAAGAATCATACAGTTAAATGTCCTATCTTCTCTAAACACATTAAAAGCAAACAAGCAGGTTTTTTTTTTCTAAGCTAAGAAAAGTCAAGAGTTACAGCTAATCAGATTCTTCAAGGGCACTGTGAAATTTCTGAAGTAGGAGGCCAACAAAGGATCCCCCCACCCCCACTGCTCATCATTTCGAAGATAGGTATCAAGAACAAGGTCTCTGGAAACTGCCTCTGTCTGAGCTGTGACTCTCCCACTTACTTGATGGGAAAAACTGGAGAAACTTGGCTGGTGGGGGTGGGGTGAGGGTGAGGGGAGGATGTACTCTTGCAGTTATTTTGGCTTGCGGAGGGAAGGGAGTAGCTGAAGATGTCTTAAGTAGGTACAAGTCTGAAATGCTGATTTAGAGAGAAGGTGAGTCACCTCTCCGAAAGTTTCAGTTTCCCCAGCTGTTACAGACAGGAAGATAATAAAATCTACCTCACTGGATTTTTTTTTTTAAGGATTGAAACTGATAATCCTGAAGTATTGCACATAACGTCTGATGTACTATAACCATTCGATAAACGTGAGTGGTACACAAAATCAATACGAGTAATAATGCTATTTTTAGCACCATTATTAAACATTCCCTTCTCTGCTTGATGTTCTCTGAATACTGCACTACTACGAAGGTTGTGTCATATTCTCAGAGAGACTGACATCCCTCGAAGGGTCAGAATCCCTGTAGTGGAGACCTGGGAAAAGAAGAGTGGCTGAGATGGTGGGCCCGGAGGTCGCGCGCCCAGCCAGCAGGCCCTACGCACCAGCCCGCGGGCTGGGAGGCGGGGTAGAGATAACAACAGGCAACACTCTCGACGCCTTCACTCCGGGCCAGCCTCTGCACAACACCTAGGCGAATCCTCGCCACAGCCCTCCGAGACAGGTGCTTTCGTCAACGCCACTTTACACACGGGGAAACTGAGGCGCCGGGGATGAAACCGCTAGCCAAGGTCACATGGTTCGAAAGCCGAGGCTCGGAACGGCGCTCTCACCACCGCGCCTGGCTGCGGTCGCGAGGGGAAGGGGGGGGGGGCGCCCAGGGGACCCCCGATTAACACAAGGCCGCGCGCGCGCGGCAGGGGGCCGGGCCGGAGAAAGCTATCTCGCGGGGGCGGCGGCCGGACTTACCTTGGCGCTGTGCACCGCCTCCTGCGCCCCGCGAAGCTGCAGCCAGATGCGCGCGGGCAGCGGTTCCTCAGCTCCGAGCGCGCCGAGCACGGCCAGGCTCACGCCGAACAGGCCCTCGATGCGGCCGCGGCTCCTCTCCAGCAGCGCCGCCTTCTCGGCCGGCGCCGTGAACTCGTCCAGCACGGCCCGGGCCGCCATGGCGGGCGCGGCCTCCCGCGGCGGCGCCGGGGGCCGCCGGCGGCGACGCCCCCTCAGCGTGCTGCCGCTGCACCCGAGCCCCGTCAGGTGGCGTCGGCCGTTTCGGCCTCCTCGCCCCGGCCCGCGCCTCGCCGCCTGGCCGAAAGGCCAGCTACACCATCCCGCCGCGGCCGCCGCAACTGGGCAACTGAGGGCAGATAGCCCCTTCGCCGCCGCCGCAGCCGCGGGCCGGGCCCCGCCGCCGCGCATGCGCCCCCGCCCGCCGCCGTCATTGAGAGTCGCCACCCCCCGGGGGTGGGGGTGGGGCGGAGGCGATAGAAGTCGACGTCACGCTCAGTCGCCATGTTTGTTGTTGGCACGACGATGGCGCTCGAGAGGGCCCCGGGTGGCCTTTGGTGAGGGCCCTGAGGCTTTTGAGTGACTTGGTGGCTGGTGAATTAATGGTGTCACAGGTGGGGAAATTGAAGCCCCGAGCCAACGGGCGAGACTGACCCAGTGTCACGTTAGGGATTTGGCTTGCTTTCAGACATTTTGAAGCCCAACCTAGGGCTCTAGCAAATTGAGTTATCCAGCTTCTCTTGAGTTGATAGATGGTTCTCTCTCTCTTCCTCCCTCCTCCTCTCACTCTCCTTTCTCCTCCTCTCCTACCCCCTCCTCTCTGCTTCCTTTGTTTTCCCTCTTTCCGTTGTTATTTCAGTAAAAATGGTAACAGGAAGAGAAGAAAATGGGAATAATGTATATGGAGAATTGAAAAGCAAAAGAATGATTAAGGAAAAGTCAAAACAGTGTTTCTTCTGGGAGGGGAGGAGGAGGATGTGTTATAGGAGAGGTACAAGACGTGGGGGATTAGGGGTTCCTGTGTGATTTTTAATGTGGGACGTGCGCACGTACACTCTAAGACCTCTTGGGGTTTAGATACCTGGGTTGCTCCCAGGTATCTCCGAAATCTTTTCCATATTTTATGTTCTCTGACTCCATGAAAACAGATTGTGGCAGATAAAGTGGTTTCCTCTCTCTGTCCTAAATGTTGTCATATAATAGATACTTAGGGACCATGAGCATATTACTTGTCTAAGCCCACATTTTCTCATTTGTCAATGTGGATAACAACAGTACTTCCTGCTGTTGTGAAAATCAATATAGTACCTAGACACGATAAGTGAGCATGCAATATTAGCTATTGTTAAATTAGCAATATATTTAGGGCTCTATTTTCACAGAAAAGCTTTGTGGGGATTATGCAGCCATACTGAATTAGTGAGCCTGGGGGCCCCCTTGCTCTGTATGGATTACCCCTTGAGAAAGAAGGGGATCTAAAAATGTTGCAGCTGGAAAGGCCAAAGGGGAAAGGTCTTGGTAAGAGGGATTACCCAAGGTAAAAGCTCTCAAGAATCCTGGCTGCTGGGGTTTTCCATATGCCTCAGAAGTTCAGACAGGTGTGGTCCCCTGGTGCCCCACCGAAAGATGACTCAATACAGGGAAGAGAACCACTAGGCTCACAGACGGACAACTTCCTGCTCCCCTGGGCTTCTACCTAGGTATCCGTATAGCCAGCCACCTTCATCCATCAGGTAGACGACCTGAGATTGGCTGAGGCCGGTCAGGTGGAGAGCAGGGGCCTCCCAAATAGACTGCACTCTGAGCTGGAGTCAGCACAGCATGTTATTTCCTGTCTTCTCAATGCTCTCACCTTAAATGGAGTTGCTATTGTTCAGTGATCGGACAGGGCTTTCCCCGGGTGGTTCCTGTTTGCTCCCAACGACTTCCCTGCTGGTGAGTCTTAATTGCTTAATTGTTAGGACTGAAAGAGACACTGCTTTGAAAAGCATACTACAGCTTCTTCCCCTTTCCCCGCCAAAAACTCACCCTGAAACAACGTTAAGTAGTGCATACACACAACCATAAAAGTTGGGCATTTGGACTCTGTTCAGAAGTCATTGGGTTAGTGTATCACCAGAGATACAGCTTTGGGGTTTTTTATCCCCCTGGTTAGAAGACTTGCCAGTTCCTACCCTGGTCAGCATTTCCCTTCAGGGAACTCTCAAGGTTTCCTGAGTATAGGGAACAAGGAGAGAGAGAAATCCCCTTTTAAGAAACTCCCTTGCTTCCTGCAGTTTCTGAACCACAACTTCCATCTGTTGGTCAGCCTTGACTACCTGGCTGGTTTCTATCACCCACGACAACTGACACCAGGGGAGAGAACTTCATGGAGTCTATATTCTACATTATAGATGCCGTACCAGTTTTTCTCTAGGCTCCATAGCAACCAATGAGAGGGGGTTTAGGGAATCACTTTTTTCCCCTTGTCACATTTTCATGGGGAGGGAAGGGGGTATTCCTCTTTTCTCCAGCAGGGTTGACTGTGGAAGAACAGGTGCCGTGCCCCTTGCCCACACTCCGCCAGGGCAGGAGCAGAACTTGTCAGACCCCACCAATTGCCAACTTTCCGAGAAGGATCTCTGCTCCCAGAGAGGGTGTGTCTGCTGTCTGTGGTTGCTCACTATGTCAGTGACTGGGTGAAGTATTGTCACCCCAGCCACATCCTCCAGTCCAGCTTTGTCAGTAATAAAGATGACACTTTGATCTCTACCTGTCTGACACCTGCTTTTATTTCTCAGTTCTGAACGCAGGAGGGGCAGAAAGAGTGTTTATTGGTTTCTGAAAACTCCCGGCAGTGGTTGCTATTTTTATCATGCTTATTTTAAAGATGAGGAAAGAGACGCATAGAGAGCTTCTGGAATGTTCCACAGAGCTGGTAAGCGAAATGGTAGGAATAGGCATTTGAATCTAGGCAGTCTGACTCTGTACTGAGTGCTCTTATGTGCAATGGGCCCCCTTTTCTGCCCTTATGCAAAAGTAATGAGAAATGAAGTATTTCCTGCCATATCAGTAAACAACGATATCACAGTCTTCAGTGATTGCAGCCACCGCTAATGGTGAGCCCTCAGGGAACTCAGGAAGGAAAGAATACCTGCCACCTAGTAGCCATCAGACCTACGGTGAGCCCTGAGGAAATTCAGGATGTGAAAACATAGGATACTGACCCCAGATAGGTGAGGTGCATGTCAAAGGAATGATTCCAGTGAGCCACCACTCGTGCATCTTCCTTTAATTAACAGTCTTTTGATGTTCACATTAACTGCCCTTTGTTGCAGAACTTCTACATAACTTGGTTCCTGCCTTCACCTCCTCAGAGCAGTTCTCTCAGGGCTACTTGAGATGCTGCCTGTCCTAAAAATTCCTGCCAAATGAAACATAACTCTCAACTTTTAGGTTGTAAATATTTTTTACATTGACAGTAAGCAAGAGAAGACAATATAACCATGTGTGTGTGTGTGAGTCGCACAGTTATGTCTGACTTTTTGTGACCCCACTGACTGTAGCCTGCCAGGCTACTCTGTCCATGGAATTGTCCAAGCAAGAATATTGGAGTGGGATGCCATTCCCTTCTCCAGGGGATCATCACAACCCAAGGGTTGAACTTGGGTCTCTGCATTGCAGGCAGATTCTTTACTGTCTCAGCCACCAGGGAAGCCCACCACTCCCCTAATGTTTTGATCCTCCTTACCTCAGGATGCTGTCAAAACTAGGCAGACTTGCACCTGTCATGTTGCTTGATTCACCCACTAATCTGATAAACAGATTCAAGATGACAGGTCTTCCTGGGTTCTTTACTTTGGTATAGTAACACCTAGGACTTTAAAGTAACAAACAGGAATACAACTGTGCTTAGCCACACACAAATTTTAATACACTGGCAAATTGTTCAGTGTTTCTGATTTCCCTTGTCACTAGTCCAAGTCATGTCATCTCTCTCATTGACAGTTGTGGGGTCTCCTTCACAATTTTTCCTGGCCTGTCTAAATTTCAGGAGCCACGACTGCTATAAGATTGGGAGAAATTATTTACAAATATTGATGCTGTGTCTAGAGTTCTCAAATTGCAAATTTCCTCAGTTAATCTCATGCTTAAGACCTTACAAGAGCTTTGCGATATGCTCAGAGTAAAATTCAAATTCTTTACCTTGATTTGCAGCACTTGCGAGATCCCTCCGCTTACTCCTCAGCTCCTCTCTCCACTTGGCCTCGCTTACACTGCCTGGGGGTATTTGCACAAGCCGTTACTTCATCCGGCTTTTTTTCTCCCACTGAGTTAACTCCTGCCCATCCATCAGATCTCAGTTCTGGAGTAATTTGTTCAAGAATTCATTCAGTGGGCTCTCTGATGAGTCAAGTCCCCTGGTCCCAGGCTCCTGGGTCACTGTGGCCCTCTCACAGCACTAGGACCAGTTTTGACATGTATTTGTGTGATGTGATTGGTCCATGCCCATCTCCAGATGTCATCAGACCTTCAGTTTCATGGGGGCAGTGACTTGAGACTGGATTAAGCTGAAAGTATTCCAGGAATGGTGAGTAGCCCTTCATGGCTGGAGTGTGCTGTGAGGCAGGGGGCACCCACAGGTAAAATAAGGTTGTGTTATGCTGTGCTTAGTCGCTGACTCTTTGACCCCACTCACTGTAGCCCACCAGGCTCCTCTATCCATGGGGATTCTCCAGGCAAGAATATTGGAGTGGGTTGCCATGCCCTCCCCCAGGGTATCTTCCCAACCCAGGGATTGAACCCAGGTCTCCTGCATTGCAGGTAGATTCCTTACCAGCTGAACCACTAGGGAAGCCCCAAATAAGTTTGGATCCTTCAGAACCCGGTGGGCCAGTTACAGATTCTGTGTTTCATTTTAAGTGCAGTGGGAAGCCTTCCCAGGTTTTTAAACAGCAAGCGCTTTTGTTTGTTCCATGTGAGATGTTCCGCGATCTCTCTCCTTTCCCTGGGGGAGGAAGCCTGGGGGGAAAGGGGGTGGGGTGAATCTGGGAAGAGCCTTCAGGGGATATGGGTTTAGGCCTGCTAAGTCACTTCAGTGTCGGCCTCTGTGCAACCCTATCACTGTAGCCTGCCCGGCTCCTCTGTCCATGGGATTCTCCGGGCAAGAATACTGGAGTGGG